AACATCTTTGAATTATGATTTTGGAAATATTTGTATCATAATACTGTGTAATATAATTTATAATATTTTAAGGATGAATGAAGTAGTTATTAACATCCCGTAGGGTGAGTTATAGTAATCGCAAAAAATTGGAAATGATGTTCTTTATATATCTTTGTTTCAGAGGTTTCTGAACATTTTAGCATACCTAAAAAAAAAAGATGTATGTGCGTGTGCGTGTGTGTGTGTGTGTCGATACAGTTTTTGCCGACGATTTCTGGAGCACCGCTTAACCGATTTGAATGATTCAAAAAACAATCGATTCCTATTCATGGGGAGTGCTGATTATTTTTTGGCAAATGCAGGTCCAGCCGTTTCGGAGATACGGAGCACAGAGTCCGGAAATTAAAAATCGAGTTTTTGAGTAAACGGAGCATCTGCTTTGAATAATTCAAAAAACGTTAAATTTGTAATGATGGAGAGAAATGGACATTAGTTTTTGTGTAAGGCAGGTCTAGCCGTTTCGGAGATACGCAGCTAAATGTGCAAAAAATGGCAGTTTTTGAGAGAACTAAGCATCCAATTTGAATTATTTAAAAAACTGCATGTGTTGGCAAAACGATTGCTTTTGAAAAGGCAATTTTTTTTTCCAAAATATTTTTTTTGGAATATCGAAAATGATTTTAATTCTAGATAGATAAAAGTCTAAAGCTAATTATTATACCTTAATTATATAATTTTAACTTAACAATTCAGTTTATATGATTCTTGAAAATATGAGATAAGGTCCTCTAATTAACTTCCCGTAGGGCAAGTTATAGTAATCGCAAAAAAATCGAAAATGAAAATTTTTATAGATCTTTACGTTTCAAAACCTTCTGAACATTTTGGCATACCTTAGAAAGAATGGATGTATGTGTATGTGTGTGTGTGTGCGTGTATGTATGTATGTTCGGATACAAATTTTCGTCGACGATTTTGGGAACACGGATCAACCGATTTGAATAATTCAAAAAACATTCGATTCGTATTGATAAGGAGACGTGCTGATTAGTTTTTGGCGAAGGCAGGTCTAGCCGTTCCGAAGATACGGGGAAAAAAGTGCCGAAAACGGTAACTCAGTTTTTAAGAGAACGGAGCGTCCGATTTGAATAATTCAAAAAACATTTTATGTGTATTGACTAAATGAAGAACTGTTCAAATTTTTGGAAAGGCAGGTCCAACGACTTTGGAGATATGGAGGAAAAAGTAAAAAAAATGAGCCATTTGGCGGTCAAAAATGATCATAGAGATTTTATCAATAAGTATAAATGTTGTTTACATTCCTATGGGTTCCGTACCAATGTTTACGTGTTAGACGGCGACGCGGCGCTTACGCGTTTCGATATTCCGTCTTTATGCAGTTAAAGTAGTACGATTGCTTTGAAAAAAAGTCCAGAATTTCCAAAATATTTCAAAATAAATGATTTAAAATAGAATTATTTAATATGGTTCGAAATTCTATTAAAAGTTTCAAATCATTGATCAACTTTTATTGATTAATATTATTGATTATTTTTAATTACTCGAATTTTGAATTGCGGTACGGGAAGTTCCAGCAATGTGCCTTAAGGCACGATGCCCTAATTGCCTTAAGACAGAATTCCTCTTACTAACTCCACTTGATCCAATTTTGTTTTAAACAAATAGAAACGTCGTCGTCGAATAATACGAATAACAAAAATTACAGCATTTATTATAATATATTTGAAGCCATTTAATATTCTTCAAATATCTCATTACGGTACGGGAAGTTCCAGCAATTTGCCTTAAGGCACGATAAGCAACTAGTTTTAAATCAGATTTTACAGAGTGACTTCAGTATTTATTACTACATAAAAAATAACATGTTTTTTAGTATAAGTTCTATTATTTAAACAATTACATAGCTACATTAATTTAACAAAAATATAAATTATTTTTCTTCCTCCTCATTTTCTTTAAAAGCATTCTGTTGGTTTATCAAATTTGCTGCAATTTTAGCTTCACGTGCTTGTCTTCTAAGCTCCTTTTGCTGCTTCCTATCTGCCTTTTCTTTCTGCGCCAACATTTCTTGGAACTTCTCATCACGGGGATCTAATTTGAATCCAAAGTGCCTTCTTACCTCTTCTACTAACCTATCTTTACGCTCCTGGAAAGAAAACAATTGAAATAAAAAATATATTTTATTTAATATAATAAATTGTATATATATATATATTTTTCTTTACCTTTGCTTCTCTGGCTTCTGCTTCAGCCTTAGCCATTTTCTGCTTAAGTTGGTGTTTCCAATCTTGTAATTTTAAGAGTTTCTTTGCGATTTCTTCATCACGTGCTCTCATGGCTTCTGCTTTTTGTTTTTTTTCTTCGGCAACCTTCTTCATCATTTCAGGGATTGTTTCGGGGTACTTTACTCTTTCATATTCGAGAGTATCTTCTAGATCTACTTTGTCGGGCCAACATAGAGCTGGGTAAAAGATAATAAATAAATATATATATATATATATATATATATATATATATATATTATATAAATAATTGTATTATTATTTGCAGACTTAAAGGAATAAACTTGGCTGGGATGTCTTTTATGAAAATATTTTGCACAAAACATAGAAACATTCTCTTGAAGTAAGTAGTTATTTTATTTATTTCTTATATTTATAATGTTTTAAAGTATATTTTAATGTTTACAGACATCAGACTGCATAATGCTGAAAGAACCGCTTGAAGATTTATCTTGCAAAAACATCATACAAGCAGAATACAAAGCAATTCAGGTACTTCAATCAATTATTATTATTACTATAACTTTTATCCTTTACCTGGATTAACATTACTACTGCTTCCGTACCTCCCATACATCATTCGTTTATATTTAACAGTTTCATGTATCCACGACTGTGGTTCTTGGTACGGAACCTTCCCCAGCACCATGTTCCTGTGCTGAGGAAGCAATCTGGATTTATTCCTTTTTTCTTCAATAATCCTCTCTCTATCGATTTCATCGTCCTCTTCATAATCTTGGAAATTACTTAATTCTTGTACGGCTGTTTGTTTTCCGCGAACTATTACATGTTTATAGGAAGGTAAAATGCGACGTATCATGTTATTCATTTTTTTTTAATTTATATTAATAATAATGGTAATGGGGATGAATTATATTGCGTTTAGGAATAAATTTAACATAACCTCAAAATTTGAAACATGTTGACAGATTAGAACGGGATTGGGTAATACATAGATAAAAGAGGAGTATAATATAACTGGGGTAAACTATTTACTCATTAACGTAAGTGAAGTGAGTAATATATAGTTTTAACGGATTTTTTAATTTGAAATAGTAACTAGTGGTGTATGGCATCGTGCCTCCAGGCAATTGCTGAACTTCCCGTTCCATAATGAAATATTCGAGAAATTTTAAACGTTTTCACATATATTATTACAAATACTGTAAATTTCATTATTTTGCTAACTTGTTATATCTGAGCAAATCAAATGTTAAATCATAAATGGCAATTTTTTTCCAGAACATTAACGATCGTTATTTCATTTCGAATTCTATTTCCAAAAAAATAGTTGCACAAAATTGAAAAAGTGCTCCTGTGTATAGTCACAGTCTAAACGCATTGGCAAATAATTCTGTGCGACATTTTCACTTATACTGTGCTTAGCTCGGCGGCATTTTCACATTTTTCAATAGTTTTCACAAATAGACAATCTAAACACACTTGGGTAAACAATTGTGCCAGAGTGGCGCTTAGACTGTGCTTAGCCTGGGTAATTTTTGAATTCTTAACCCAAAATTACATTATATGATTTATTTATCTAGAATTAAAATTAATATCATAATTATTTCAAAACAAAAATTGTCTTTTCCAAAAACTAATTGCCAACAAAAATTTGTATCCGCACATATGCACACACACACATAAATTTTTTTAAGGTATGCCAAAATGTTCAGAAACTTTTCAAATGTAAAGAGTTAATAAAAACAGCTCAATAAATTTTTGTGATTTATATATTACCCATACACTTAAATTAACATAATAAATGTAAATAATTCACCTAATAATAAACAAAATTCACCTATTTCAACAAAATTAAAATAAATATTACATCTATTTATGAACTGCTATTGTTGGCTTTGTTTAAAAGCTGCTGATCTGCATTTGCTAAATTCCAATTATGTTCGATTATTTGCAAAGCTTCCCATTCGGCTTTGAATGCACTTTTTGGATCTGGTGGCATTGCCATGGCTGCTCCGGACATTTGTTCTTGCATTATTCGGGTTTGATCAGAGGCTGAAAAAAAATACAAATAGATAAGATGATACATTTATATATATATATATATTATATATATATTGTGTGTGTGTGTGTGTGTGTGTGTGTACAATACAATTACCATTATTTTCCCCTAAAACCAAAGTGTAGATACTGCGCAGACCGAAAACATTCAAAAAATACCAACTGGCAGATGATACCCAACTAGCATCCAACGAAGCTAATTCCACACCTCTTTGTAACATTGGTTTAAACCTCAACGTCAACGGGAATGGCACTTTTGCTAAAAACAATAATCAAACATTAACACAATTTTTCTTACTAATATATAATTTTTTTTTCCATACTTGTCACAAATCCTGAGAACATCCAATTAATCCAGCCACCAATAACAATCATAGGCAAGACATTAGTAATGTTTCCTTTTAACATGTCTGTCATAACGCTGGGTCGGTCATGGGGTTGTTATTGTGGCAGGTCGTTTCTGGGTTTTGAAATAACCGGTTTCTTCGTGTTGAAGAAATGTCTTCGCATCAGGATGATTGGGGGTGCAAATAGTTGCCATTCTCTCTGAGGTATCTTGCTCTTATCATCACCTGACTAGAATAGAAATAATATCATTTACAAAAACTTATGATGGAAGTTATGTACTAATATAATTCAGAATGTCTAAAATGTATAATTTACACAGGTGTGAGTGATTTTTAGTACTAGTTG